AATGATTACATCCATCGAAATTATGACTTAAAAATTCATAATAAGGAGAATAATTTTTTTTACAATTATGACATGGCCTAATTTCAGTCTTATCTCATTTCAAATGTATCTTCTCATAATTAGTCATAATTATGATTTAATGTGTCATAATTTCTACTTTTTGTGTCATAATAATGACTTATGTCATAATTAAGATTTACCAAAGCATAAATTGTTTTTACATGGCGGAAATCGGCTTCCATAAAAGCGATACATTCAAAAACACTGTTTTTATTATTTAACGGTCTCATATTTTAAAAACACTATCGATCTCGAATATGTTTCAATGCAGGAACGCTAGAAATGAGTCACGTGCCCCGGTGGAGGAAAACGCTCCTCTGTAAGATAAATTAATTAGATATTACATGTAATTTGGTTGTAAAACATAAAGTGTTGCATGATTTCCATTACACGAGAGTAGATGTTAAAACTTCATGCTGATTTGTACTCGGCTTTCGCCAAGATAAGCAAAACTAAGACGTAGCTTTACAGTAAACTATGCTTCTCCATCCATTTACGCTTCTTTCCATAAGGTAGTGTGACTCCCCTTCTGTCCGGCGTTAACGGCAGCAGTGTACTTGGCGCGTTAGCACACGCGACGGCTGCAACTACAGGACCAGCACGACAACCGTCTGGATTGAACCGAGTAGGGGACATCTCTAGGGTCTTCAAGTGGGCACCTTCCGTCCTCAGTGTTTCGTCGACTAGCCCACGACACCTCAAGAGGGCTGGCGTCCCAGAGTCACCCCCCTCCGTCCCCCACTCAACTCAGCCCAGCTTACTGACCTCTACATCCCTCCTGCTGCTGAGACCTAACCACAATATCACAATCTCTCCGCGACCCAACCATACGCGCCAACCCGTTGACTAAGGCTGTCCATTAACCACTGGTGCGTTAATATGCAGTTTCAGTGGACAACGGTTCCGTATGGCATACCACCTACCGCAAAAACACAATATCTACCCAACCACCCGTCATTCACGCAATATCCACAGGAACGTATACAAACAAACCAACAAACTCTTCAAGTTTTCAAGAACTCTACGAAACCGTAGCGTGGCGGCCTGTACACAGCCAGCTAGAATCTTTTCGTCTCAACCAGAGCCAGTTGCTGCTCCTTTCTGCTGCTTCAGATAAGTTCTTTACTGTGCGACGCAACTCTTGGCCACTGAATCCGACGTCTCTGAGGAACCGGGTTGTAGAGTGTGCCACAAAACCTCGACAACCCACTTCCACTGGATAAACCTGGACTCTCCACCCTCGCTGTTCTGCTTCAGTGGCCAGATGAGCATACCGCAGTTTCTTCCTCTCATATGCCTCATCTACCGCATCCTCCCATGGCACTGTTAACTCTATCAGTTGAACAATGCGTGCTGATCCAGACCACAAAACAATATCTGGTCGTAGGTTAGTGGTGGCAATCTCAGGTGGAAAAATATTTACACATTTCATTGGTGTAAAGATGAGCAGGCTGTGTTTCTTTTGTAAAACATTTGCAACGCAAAACTGAATAAGTGTCTTCTGTTACATGGCATAAATAATACTGAACAGACATTTACAAGTTTATTTTAAAATGCGAAGTATTGAAAGCTCCATAAACACTTGCATTTTTACAACAGAACAAGTGACTCCCATTGCGCAAACAAAAGTTTTTCCCACACTTGTATCTTCACACCTAACACTTTGGCCAAATACATACAGTAGCCTAGTACATGCAAGTAGACACGTGGTCAAGTGCACAGACCGCGAGTGTGTGTGTGTGTGTGTGTGTGTGTGTGTGTGTGTGTGTGTGTGTGTGTGTGTGTGTGTGTGTGTGTGTGTGAGTGTGTGTTTGAACAGGCCCATATACAGACATTCACTATGTAGTACGTATACCAACTGTTCAAAATAAGTAGGGGAGAACCGGGGCGAAAGTAACACGGGACGAAAGTAACAAAGCGATTTTCTCTGAGCCCTGTTACATTTGCATTTCAAGCTATGACAGCACTTTCGGCATGCAGCCAGTGACCGAGCTGCTAAATATCACGTGATTTCATCATCGTTTCACGCGGTTAGGTCCGGAAAGCAGTTTTCCAGTATGATAAGTAAATTTCTTAATTAAAGTTGTGTTTTTCGTTTCATGCGTCACACACAGTAATGATCAATCTATAGGTTATTTAGTGCTGTAACACATCCTGAAGTTTGCCTGGTCAGAGTTTTTCAGTATAAAAGTAAATCGGGTTTAAATGTCAGTAGTTCCTGTCGGGACGAAAGTAACACTCGTTACTTTTGTCCCGCTATAGGGAAAACAAATGTTTCTTTTGTTCCTCCTCTAATGTGGTGACTTTCTGTGTGTTGCAGCATTTATTAAAACATATTTATGTCATATTATACCAACAGAATATGGCAGATGTTTATGAGGGGGCTTTTAAAGCTTAAGTCACATTTAAATCAGCTGATTTCTGTGTCACCATTTTTTTCACTCAATCTGTTTCCATTTACCCTAGTTACATTTAGGTTTTAGCCATACCTTATAGCTTTAACACCTCCACCTATGCATTTGCAGGATTTCTATCCAGATGTTTTTTATGCACATTTTAAATGTAGGCTATGCATAAAAACAGCTGGATGGAAACATGACTATTGTTACATTATGTTGAGAATTTATATTATGCTAATTTAATTTAATTTTCATATTTTTCATGTTAAAAAAAAAACATTTTATAAAATGGATTGACAATAAAAATAAAAAATCTAAACAATTCAAGTATGTACTACTGTTGGGTTACTTTTGAAACATTTGATGAAACTGAAATTTAAAATGAAAAAATGTAAATTAACAATTTTTTGCAAAGATAAAGGCTAAAATATGTTTGCAGTTACATGTTAAGGTCATACTCGGGTATATTTAAAAAAAAAAAAAAAAAAAAAAAAAAGAGTAACAAAAAATCTAGCTTGTATATTGTTGTGTTACTTTTGACCCACCTGTGTGTTACTTTCGTCCCAACTGACGGGGTCGAAAGTAACATGAGCAGTCTTAAGTTCAAAGTGAAATTATACTGAAGTTGTTCTACATTTTTACAAAATACCACCTGGTATTGATAGACCACACTTGTGAGTGACTGACCACAGCAAAAATATATCTCTGTCTAAACCATCATCTTTTAAAAAGATGTTTTTCTGAAAAATGGTACTTTCGCCCCCGCTCTCCTACAGCATAGGCTACTCAAAGAGAGTTTATGATTTAGTAGAAGTTCTACGAAGTGTTACGAGAGAAAGACAACAAATATTTGTATATTTGTACATACGACATGGGGATCTAGTCGAATAAAATGATATATAAGATTGATAATGTGCGGACAGATGTATTTAAAGGCCCACAGGTGGCGCTGTTCGGCTGAGGAAGCTGTAAGCGCCATTTAAAATGAATGATCAAAAAGCACACAGTATTATAATAACTGCACTACATTTGATTTGAAAGGAATGTAAGTGCAACGTTTGCATCGCATTCAGGTTTATTATTGGCTCATTATACAGAAGCAACAACACTAGCAAGGAAAAGTGTTATGAACTGTAATATGAAGAGCTGCTTTTAGGGATATTTACACAGTAGCCTATGGCCAAAACACTTGTTCAACAACTCATGGGATCATTTTAAATTTCCACGTTTTGAATCTTATAGCTTTGGTTTTTTAGTTTTTGGGTACAACAGAATTGTTTTTACACAGACTTGTACACTGAAAGTTTATTTAAAAAATGTATTTCCATTATGATTTCAAATGTGCATCCAAAAAAAAACTTCAGATTTTTAAAATAAATCCCTATACTGAGTAAATTGAGAATTCAGTGTTGTTTTGTTATTTTTAATATTTTATATAAACTGTTTTTGTAGTAAAACACAACAAATAATCGACATTTAAAAACAAAACATGACTTATAGGGTGTCAGAACAGTGTTGAGCACTAGTGCCCTTCACGGCAGTGTTGGAGTACATCACCTGTGTTTGGATTATTCTCACACGAGCCCTGCAAAGTCTACATTCCTGAAGTTAAGAGGCTATATGTAAGAGTTTTCATAATATTAATCGATTTTTTTATTGCCACTGTGTGAACAGCTTGTAACGAAACTTAACAAACGAGATCTTCCTTGACGTCCAAGCTTGTCTATGAAAGCCTGATTTTCTGACAGACCGCGGGACGTTTTTGCCGGGAAAATCAAAAGAATATTGACGGTTTCGCGCGCTCCCGAGATCCTCTTCCGTTCAGTGACACATGAAACAAATGTTGATTTTTTGCGTTCATGATAATACCATTCTGTACTGTAATGTCAATGTGTCATGCATTCAAACTATAGGCCTAGTCTTAGTCTCACATAGTCAGATATAGTCTAGTTTTAATAATTTACTTCATAATCAAACTATCATGTGTAATTTGAATTACCAGTCGACATGAGACCTCATGCAAACACATCCACATCATCTCTATGATCAGAAGCTTTCTGAACTTTCTGTCACAATGTGGGAAAGAACCCACAAAAAATATTTTAAAAATTGGGAATTTGTTAGATTATGGGTGAGTAAAATCAGTAAATTTGAGTCCAATGCTGTATCGGTGCCTTGAATCACGTTCAGTCTTAGTCCATCACGTGCACGAGCATCAGTGCTGCAGTTCCCCTGACGGCCACAGGTGTCGCTAATCACTAACTTTCTGAATTCTACATTCTTAAGGGAAACATACAGTAACGTGGTGTTATGCTATAATCATTTAGTATACAGCTAATTAAAACATTTATTGTTGCCCATTGTACTGCATACTTTAACTAAATACCCCTGAGGCCAGAGTCACATGTTAAGTGCAATAACAATGCAATAGGCTACAGTGTGAACTTTACAACACAATTATTTTAAAAAACAACATTAAAAAAATTGTGGAAAAAGTTCCAATTCTCAGTTTGAGACTGTCAGACTCAGTTTGCATCATCATTACACCAAGTCCTCATCAGTCCTCATATGATGGGCGGGTGTGTGAGACGGGTGCTGTCCGGTCCAGACGGGCTCTTGCAGGAAGTGTGTGTGTCCCGCACCGGGGTGTGTGTTCAGCAGGCCGTCAGCGGGAGGACTGAGGATCACTGAGATCTGAGACGGATGGATGATCTGAGGACAGGGCTTCCCTTCATCAACACACCTGTCAACAATACACACATTCATAAGTGTGCTACTGTAATTCATGTGCATAAAGGAGACGATGCATGCCTTTTGATGTTGTTTCTTGTGAATGTACACTACCAGTCAAAAGATTTGGATCGGGAAGATTTTTTTTTCTGCTTTTATCGGCTGCATTTATTTGTGTGTGTGTGTGTGTGTGTGTGTGTGTGTGTGTGAGTGTGAGTGTGAGTGTGTGTGTGTGTGTGTGTGTGTGTGTGTGTGTGTGTGTGTGTGTGTGTGTGTGTGTGTGTGAGTGTGTGTGTGTGTGTGAGTGTGAGTGTGTGTGTGTGTGTGTGTGTGTGTGTGTGTGTGTGTGTGTGTGTGTGTGTGTGTGTCTGTGTACCTGCAGGGAGTGTCGATCTGCTTGTCTGTGGTTCTGGATGTTGTGGTGAGCTGTGTGTAGTTGTTGTTGTTGTTGTTGTTTGTGGTTTTCTGGTTGTGTAACGGCTCTCTCTGCAGATCCATCTCTGATGCCCCATTTTTTCTCGCCCTGTACATTCACACAAGACACACACATTAGCCCTCACCAGCGTCACACACACACGTCATCAGTTAGAGCTGCGCGAGTCCGTCGTGCTTTGGGTTCGCTGACAGCATGTGAGGGCAGAAGCGTTGAGTAACCTTTTATCACTTTAAAGCCCCACTGAAGTGCTTTGGTTGATGCGTTGATGTAATTTCCTCTGAAACAGGAAGCTAAGGCGGGACATATTGAATAGCTCCTCCCCCTTTTCAAATAGCCAATAGCGTTTAGTTTCCCTCACAGACTGACAGCACCATGGAAGCGAATCCGAGCGCTGATGAAACGCTGGACTCAATAGTAGAGATGTGAATAAACTCATCATTTCATTCTTAATCAAAGTACAGTTGGAGAACGGAGTCAAACTGGGGCGTTTGAGCAACTGAACACACACTCCAACCCATAATGCTCTGTGTGTTTATAGCAGAGGGGGCGGAGCTTCAGATTCCAGAGAGCATGTGATTGGACAGAAGATGTGATGAGAAGCTGAAGTGATGTAATAAACATCCCTGATCCATTTTACCAGAAGTGAGAGACTGTACGTTTTCTCCTAAATGTGAATTTTGTCATTGTTTCGGAAGCTTATTCATAATCTTAAGGCTAACGTGTTCATACTAAAAGCTAAAAAACTTACATTTTGATTTCAGGGGACCTTTAATATTATATTATCTGCAAATGCTTGTTTAAAATTTTATATACTCTTAAGATTTGAAGAACACGACCACAAGTGCACATTCAGTACAGCTGAGCACACAAGGGAATAATCACGTGATGGTTTATATCAACATGAGGTTTCCGGTTCTCTCACCTCTCCATCTTTCTTCTCTCCTCTCGTCTCACATGTTTCACCAGACAGGAGGTGATGAAGATGATGCTCATCAGGAGGATGATGGTGGCGCTGATGAAGGACACGAGAACCGCTAAACGAAAGCCGTCGTCCTCCAGCCGAGACAGCGCTGAGAAACACACAGCGAGAGGAGGAAGCACAACATTCATTAGGAATTCAAGTATCAACAGTATTAAGATGTGCAGATCCCACACACCCTAATAGGGCTCAGGTGCAGGACAATATAAATAACAATAATGGGGGGAAATAAGCGTGATGTCTACACACTGAATTCACGGCTCAAACACAACTGTATTGGAGAGCAACGTTTCGGCCGTCAGCTCTTCATCAGGTTCAACACTCGTGTGGGAAAACACAACTCTATATAGAAACAGGTAATCGTCTTAATTTAACACACACTCCAAAACACGTGGCACACATTTAAAAACACACACAATTATAACAAAATGCCTGTTTTGTCAAGTATCCTCTCAAAGTCTTAAATGAACGTAAAGAGTGTAAAATGCATGCGATTCATTTTTTCAGTTTACCGCGTTAAAAATATATAATTAATGCAGCGTCCATTTTCCCTGTCATCCTTTGGCTAGCGTTACTTTATATTTTCACGCTTTCATTCATGCAAATGTTTTTAAACCATTCAAGTGCAATATGAGTTAAATGAAGTCTTAAATGAAGTCTTAAAAGAGTTAAATGAAGTCTTAAAAGAGTTAAATTAAGTCTTAAATGAGTTCAATGAAGTCTTAAAAGAGTTAAATTAAGTCTTAAATGAGTTCAATGAAGTCTTAAAAGAGTAAAATGAAATCTTAAATGAGTTAAGTCTTAAATGAGTTAAATAAAGTCTTAAATGAGTTAAATGAAGTCTTAAAAGAGTTAAATAAAGTCTTAAATGAGTTAAATTAAGTCTTATATTAGTTAAATTAAGTCTTAAAAGAGTTAAATTAAGTCTTAAATGAGTTAAATTAAGTCTTAAATGAGTTAAATGAAGTCTTAAATGAGTTAAATGAAGTCTTAAATGAGTTAAATGAAGTCTTAAAAGAGTTAAATAAAGTCTTAAATGAGTTAAATGAAGTCTTAAATGAGTTAAATAAAGTCTTAAATGAGTTAAATGAAGTCTTAAAAGAGTTAAATGAAGTCTTAAATGAGTTAAATGAAGTCTTAAAAGAGTTAAATAAAGTCTTAAATGAGTTAAATTAAGTCTTAAATGAGTTAAATGAAGTCTTAAATGAGTTAAATGAAGTCTTAAATGAGTTAAATGAAGTCTTAAAAGAGTTAAATAAAGTCTTAAATGAGTTAAATGAAGTCTTAAATGAGTTAAATAAAGTCTTAAATGAGTTAAATGAAGTCTTAAAAGAGTTAAATGAAGTCTTAAATGAGTTAAATGAAGTCTTAAAAGAGTTAAATAAAGTCTTAAATGAGTTAAATGAAGTCTTAAATTAGTTAAATGAAATCTTAAATGAGTTAAGTCTTAAATGAGTTAAGTCTTAAATGAGTTAAATGAAGTCTTAAAAGAGTTAAATAAAGTCTTAAATGAGTTAAATGAAGTCTTAAATGAGTTAAATAAAGTCTTAAATGAGTTAAATGAAGTCTTAAAAGAGTTAAATGAAGTCTTAAATGAGTTAAATGAAGTCTTAAAAGAGTTAAATAAAGTCTTAAATGAGTTAAATGAAGTCTTAAATTAGTTAAATGAAATCTTAAATGAGTTAAGTCTTAAATGAGTTAAGTCTTAAATGAGTTAAATGAAGTCTTAAAAGAGTTAAATGAAGTCTTAAAAGAGTTAAATGAAATCTTAAAAGAGTTAAATGAAGTCTTAAAAGAGTTAAATGAAATCTTAAATGAGTTAAGTCTTAAATGAGTTAAATGAAGTCTTATATGAGTTAAATAAAGTCTTAAAGTAGTTAAATGAAGTCTTAAAGTAGTTAAATGAGTTAAATGAAGTCTTAAATGAGTTAAATAAGTCTTAAATGAGTTAAATGAAGTCTTAAATTCTGAATGCCTATAATTGAGAAATAAATGAAAACACTATTGGCTGAACTGGCAGTGGGCGGAGTCACACACACCAAAACAAACACTGAACGCACGTTTCAGAGTAAAATAACTGGCTGTAGAAGTGTTTTTCAGAGAGACGAGTGTGTGAACCCACGTTTCCTCAATATCGACAAACAGATTATGGTATTTTTATGCTTTAGTACAGTCAAAAACTTGCATACAGCACCTTTAATGTTAGTTGTGAATAATCGCGATTAATCACAGAAAAATGATTGATCAGTGAGTTATTTAATCGATTGCCAGCTCTAGGACGAGTTCAATTGTATCCTTACGTTTGCACTGGGGTGTCCCGCCGCTCCAGCGCGTGTCGTTCCTGCTCCACACACACGACACCTGAGCGCCGCTGCCCGCGGTGTGTGTGTTCGGGCACTGCAGCCTCATCACACTGCCCACGCTGGTGCCGTCGCCCGAGACCAGCTTCAGGGTCCCGATGGCCGGAGCCGGCAGCGGAGAGCACTGACCTGCGATCAGTCACATATATAATTAGCAGATCCAGGTGATGGAACAAAATGCAGAGGGGGGCTTTTACTTTCTGAACCTGGACTTTACACCTCTGGATTTACATGATCAGAAAATAGAAGTATTGAGTATGAATTATACTTTTGTGCATTGTACATTTTTCGTTTTCAGATACAAATGCTTTTAATTTTTTACTTTTTAAAGTACTGCATTATTGATGGTAAATTTAAATTGTAGCTGTGCATTTCAGTAAATTTCATTGTAACTTTTAGTATGTTTTTGCTGATTTTATGAAATTATTGTAAAAAAAAAAAACTTCGAGTGGACAAAATAATTATCAAATCTGGCTACCTGATTCATAATCACATGGGTTCAATTATGGTCATTCCTGGTATTCATTGCTTTTGGGCCATCATACAATGTAGAAAATCAAACTCATTTTTTTTTTAAAGAAATGTTTCTGATAGGGTTGATGATGTAAACCATTTGAAAAATTATTTTGGTCAAGCTCAGCGAAATATATTTAACCATTTATTAAACAAAATAAATACAAATGGAAGATCCAAAATGTCCACCCTGTTAGGGACAAATGAACAACTGTTTCAAATACGTATTATTTACATGTGTGGGCGCTGTGTACATTACTCATGTGCTTTTGTCCTTTTAAAAGCATATCAGTTAATAAATTATCAGAAAATATAAATATTTTACTTTCTCACAAACGCATCGGATGGACTAAATAACAACAGGGTGGACAAATAAAGAATGGATGATTTCCTATCGCTCACACACAACCAGTTACAGTATTACTTTAGTATGACTGGATTTAGATGGGAAAACATTGCCAGAGAACTTTAAATGCACCACTTCTCCAACTTTAACCGTAATTACTTTCACAATCACGATGTTCCCTCTGTGTCCTTTCTGTTAGCTCTTCTGATCTGAGGTCAGCCACTGCACCGTCTGAGCAACAACAAGCTGATAGTAATTAATAGTAAAGAATTGCATGGTCGTAATAAAAAAAAAAAAAGATTATTCAACTAATTGTTTTCCCCATAACAGGGTGGACATACTAAGGTTGACCACATCAAATATGAAAGATAAAATTGGTTAAAAAAAATAGACAATTAAAATAATCAAGGATCTCACTCACTTTCCAAAGTTGTTTTCCCTCCAGAGAAGTGATGGCAGCTTTATGATATGATGACATTTCATTTTTCCAACTTTTATTTAATGGAAAAGTAGTCAAAAATAACAGGGTGGACAATAAATTGAGGGATCAGCTAAAAAGCTTGATTATAATTGCTAAAATACATTTTATAATTAAAAGAATATGTACATTAGAGAGAATCTTTACTGATATACCCAACAATGGACAAATGTTTTTACAAAATCACCTATATGTTGTATTTATGAAATTGGGATACACTTGCCTGGGGACAGAGGGAAAATGCTGTCAAATTATTTGTTTAATAAACTTCAATATGCTATTTATATGTGCCTTATTTATGACTACAAGTTTAAACGTGATATTGTTCGACATTTGAAGGCAGTCAGATCACGATCTTGGAGACACGAAGGCACCGAATCCCAGGAATGACTCTCATATTTCTCTGTACAGTGTTTTCATAGTTTACATGATTCATCTTTACGGATGTTTTATTGTACACTAGTAGTGTTTTAGCTCTAGTGAGAAGTGAAAGTGTGATGAGGGTGCGCCTGTCACAATCAAACTGTACATCGGTGTCAAACAAATTACATGAACCGCATTATATGATTTTGGATAGGTTATTAAATAATCAAAAATTAGGCCTCTAAAGAGCTTATCTGGGGTTTGACAGGGATGAAAGCGAGGCTGAGGGACAGAAGTACATGTTCAATACTGTAGTTTAACAGATGAAATATTTAAAAAATGAAAGTTTTGAAAGTTGTGAGTTTTGAAAATTACACACAGTAACTATCCCTCACAGCTTGTTATTTTGTTTTTAATCAAATTTGCATTTTTATTCACATAAAATTCAATATGGCATCTGCTCTGACTATTATTACGGTCTATTATTGGCTTTTGAGCAAAACACAACGAGGAAATTAAATGAAACACACAAAAATGAAATCAATGGAATCAGCTTTCTCAAGCATGACAGACAACAGTTTTAAATAACCAAATTAAAATGTTTGTGTGTCACATGACCAGGTCTGATGGAGGGGTTATAGGCCTATTGTGTAACAAATATAACTTTTTGACGACTGGAAATGTAAAGAAAGCCACACAATCACAGATTTTAAAGTGATTTCATGAGAGGCAACAGCAATGCCTGGAACAGAAAATAATATATATAAAAAAATAACATTTGGCCAACCGAAACTGTAAATTAATTAATATATTGTAGCCTATTTACAACATTTACTTGTTTAAAATGTTTAGAAACACATTGAATGTTTAAAGGCAGCTGGTTTCAGTGAACGCTTTCTGCTCTGTTTCTCACACTGGGAATAGGCCTATCAAATAGCCTGATTATATATATATATATATATATATTCTGGTGTTGTTTCAGTGGAATATTCTTGCAACTTTTTCTATATAAAAACAATTCATTAAAAAAAACATATAATATATATATATTATTTTTTTCTTTTCTTTTTTTCCATGAATTGTTTTTATATAGAAAAAGTTGCAAGAATGTTCCACTGAAACAACTCCAGAATACAGGTTTAGCTTTGGATGAGTAAACCTCACCTCGAAATAACAGAGAACACAAGATGAAGAAACAAACAGGAAAACAGAGCACGTTTCCGATCAGAGAACCGCTGTCATTTACAGAAGACGCGTTTCCTGCTCACACACACACTCAAACACACACACACACTCACTCACTCACTCACACACACTCACACAGACACATCTGCTGCTCATCCTGTCTACTCTTAATGCGCATGAAAAACTCACATACTCTCTCTCTCTCTCTCTCTCTATCTATCTCACGCACACACACACACACACACACACACGCACCGCGTCTAAAGGAAAGCTCACTACATTAGCTACACTTGACTAACAAGCACTAACCGTATTGCTGATATATTAAATATTTAAATATTAAACAGACGGATAAACTCTGTAGGCTACATCAGCATAGACAACTGACGATATTTCCTGCAGAGCAGATTATATGCATAATAAGAGAACAACAATGAAGTATATTTAAGAATAACTACAGTTTAGTAACGAACACTGTAAAATAAAGTCAGTGAGCATCTTGTGCTATAAAGCACCTAAAATCTCTAGCCAAATCACACTTTAAGAGCTGAAGTGTGTATTTGAAGGTGTGTGTGGATGAATGAAGAGCTGAAGTGTGTATTTGAAGGTGTGTGTGAATGTACCTGTTCGGTCTCCCATCCCTGATTCAGACGCACTGATGATGAATGCCATTCAAACTGTTGCGCGAGCGCTTTCACTTCACTCCACAGCCCGAGGAGCGGCGCATGCGCAGAGGCGACACACACACACACACACACACACACACACACACACAGACAGACAGACAGCACTCTCAGTCTGGAGCGAGTATTTAGGATTTATGATGAGGACACACTGTCTCTCTCAGCTTAAACTCCACGACCGATGACCGTCGAAGACAATGCTAACGCTAACAGCGCAAGGATTCACCATAGCCTAGTTACTTTCTCTCAACATATCAAAACAACTGAACAAGAGAATTAGATATAGGTCTATCAAAGGTCTCATTTCTATTTAGTAAAAAAAAAAAAAAAACGTTACTCACTGTTACATTTATTTGTTTGTTTGTTTAAGTTTAATATAATTTAAAAAAAAAATTATATTAATCAATTTCAAGTTAAAAGAAGTTCAGCTTTAAAAAAAGAAGAAGCTTTTTTCATATACAGTCTCTTTCAGATAATTCATTTCACTGGCGGCCATCTTTGAAACATCTCGGTCTCCGGCAGTTTCAGTCAAGTGCAGCTCCTATCTCTTTAAATGGGGAAATACTTGAAATGTGAAATTCTCCAAGCTGTTACACTTCATATTTGAAATAATCACAAAGGAAAACTGACAACAGTCTCACAAATTTAGTTTCTAAACGCTCAAATCATGACAAAAACCTGAATAATTTTTAAGGCTAGACCAGCCAATGCGCATGCGCGGTCCTAACCACGCGTCTCATCTCATAACACTGACTGTTTCTATAGCAACCGGAGTTTCTAGGGCAGCTGCAGTGACGCAATTGGCTCTTTTATTTAGAAGGCGGGACTTAATCCGCCATGTTGCGCGTTGCACTTTCTTTCATTTATAGTGATATGAATGCAGTATTTCTGTATAAAGTCTTTAGAGCACTGGAATGAGCAAGGTCTTTAAACTGGCCTAATGTTGAGATATTTTATGTGGGACATTCAGTTATCAGACTGTGATAATACAGATATGCATATTAAATTGAATGTGGACTGGTGTTTTCTTATGCATTCTGAGATTGCTGTTTTAAAACTGCAATTATCTTTGAAATCCACTGAGTTAACACTGTACAGAGGCCTTGACTCGAGGAGGGAGTTGGGTGTTGTCTTGCAAAAAAAGAAAAAGAAAAAGATTTTCAAGAATTAGAAAAATGAAGTGAAAGTCATGCAAAGGGTTTGAGTAAATGTTATTAGATCTAAGAGCATCCTGAGGCCAGATGTAGAAACTCAGAAACAAGAAAGAGGAAGTACTGAAGGTCAGGTGACACGCTCAACAGGAAGACCGACGAGGTGTGACGATACCTCAACCAAAGCCACTAGAAAGCAAGCCTGTCAGGTTAGCACAAACAAGCGTAATCCGTGCTAACACTGCGGTGCGCGGAGGAGACCACAGGCTGATTGTTTTTAATGGATGTCGAAGGAGGAGAGGCTTCACTACGCTTCACTTTAAGTGGGAAAACGGCTTATTGACAGCCTCTCTGCTAAAGTTCCCTGTAGTCAATCATTTTATCCCATAAAACTCATCTTTGATAAACAAAATTACATATTTAAACATTTTAAATATCTTGAATGTAACTCGACACCCTTGCCTCATTTAGTATGCGCGGTTCTATGAATATGCAAATGAGCCCCGCCTCCACTCACTCACTCACTCAGAGATCCACTGGTTGACGATCACACGTTGATCTGATTGGTTACAAGGTCGTTTGTGACGTCAGAAACACCAGCGATTTCAAACCGTGTTTTTGAGACTGTCTTTGGTTCACTGCAGTTTTAAGGAGGAAATACTCAGCAATGCTGTCGACTTATGAACTTACACATGGTGTGTCTTAAAGCATATTAAACACCACATAGGCACATAAACAACATTAAAAGCTGGATTTCCATTGGGGGCGAATGAAGTCTGGTTTCACGTTAGCGTCACGATAGCAGAGCGGATCATGTGATCGAGTCGCCGCAGACCAGATAACGTATCGGATCCGTTTGAATTCTGCACAGAATTATATTTTAAAGCGATATGGAGGAGATTAGGAGGAAACTGCGGCTTTATCGAGTTCAACGTCTCTGAGCTGCGATATTTAACTAAACGCTATTGGCTATTTTAAGAAAAAAGGGGAGGGGCTGCTCGATATGCCCCGCCCCCTCTTCCTGTTTCAGTGGACATTACGCCGACACACTGAATAATGCTGCGCGTTTCAAGGCACTCAGTGGGACTTTATACCTTTTGCAAACATGCTCATATAATAATCAGCATCTAAGGGGTCGTGTACATGACATTGATTTCAACTGTAAGACTGGAAAACTGGTTGGAGACACTGTCTTGACCACATGGTCTATTGAAACAAAGGAACTTGCTGAAAATTAACATTTGGCTTCCCCCCTCTTCCCCAGAGACAAAAGTCTCACCTCATCTACATTTCATTCTCTCACCCAGTAACAGCTAAAACTCACATAAGAGTATATATATGGTTTAATGTGAATGATTATTGTGTTTAGTATCATTTTAAAGGTCTCAGGGTGGCTGGTACATATGTCTCATTTCCAAATAAGTAAAACAAAAGGAAATAAGGTTTTTAAGAGTTTAGGAATAACTGGCACACAAAGGAATGTGGTCTAGGCACTCCCAAAGGTGTAAATTCATGAATGCTAATTTCCACTGTTCTTAGCAAAATGGTTCTTCTACCCCCAGTGAGTCTGGGGGGGGGGGGGGGGGGGGGGGGGGGGGTGAACACAGTAAATCTCCACTAAATTCAAGCTTTACATCTGGCTATATAAGGAAAATGCAGCGAGAGCTCAGGGCTTTTTCTGTATCTCGAATCAGCCCGTGGACGCTGAGTCGCCGAGACTCAGCATTCATGTATTTCATGTCGGGTAAAAGATTTTCCTCTTTGTTCTAGAATATTTGATGATTTTCATTGAGTATCTTTCAATTGATTATGGAATTGTTATAATACATTTACCTGACATAATAAATGGTTATATTTGATTATTCTAACAGACTTTGACTTTATTTTCATTGGAGTTAAAAGGAATAGTCAAACATTAACGTATACTTAATGATGCACAGATATCATTGAAAAAGTCAAAAGAGTCAGATGAAACGAGTTAATACATAAGATAATGTATTGCATTTAATTAAAAATCCCTTTGCCATTGGAAGAGACGGAACGCGCGTTGAGACCAGTTGGCTCGAATTAAAAACTTTATGCGTTTTGGCCGTTCAATTACACGACAACGACATTTTGAGGGCTTGAAAACACAATCAAAAAGTGCACGTTTTTGACAACGATACCATTATCGTCTAAAAAACACAGTGACATCATGTGTGTTACGTGTTCAGTCTATAGGAGCGTAGTGTTTCTTCAGTGACATCGCCACCTACTGGCCTGGCGGCAGAACGCAGCGTGTGAACGGGATCATTTTGACAGCGGTGTCGTTGTCTGTACGTGAAAAAAAAAAACGCAAAGGAAAAGCTTTCCCATCATTATGTAAACGCACCCTGAACCCCTGTTAAACTCTCCCGAAAGTGATGAAATGGAGTTAACGCATCACAGCACACACTTTCACGCCCTCTCCCAGGAAAACCTCCATCTCAAGTGCCTTGTGGAGAAGAAATGTATGCAATTGTTATTTATATATATATATATATATATATAACTATGGAATTCTTTACCAGTCGAGATAAGGCAAGCAAAATCTCTTAGCATTTTTAACTCATTTTTTAGGGTAAGTTTTAATTGAATAATTGTATAAATGTTTTATTGTTCATTATTTTATAAGGTGTATTTTGTTGCTTTAATTTTATATTGTGGATTGTTTTATTTGTTTATGTAAAGCGCTTTGAGATTTGAGACAGTTAAAGGCGCTATAGAAAATAAAGGTTTTATATATATATATGAATAAAATAATATATGTTATATATAATATATCCAATTGTGGGGAAGCATGCCAAAGTTAAGAAAAATGTACATTCGTTTCAATAAAAATAAAGTCTCACACAAACACCAGTGACCAGATACTCTTTAATTCATTGATATGCTATAAGACAGCTTTATACACATTAAATGCTTTTAATAATACTGGCTCTGGTTCAAACTCTATTAAAGGGAAGCAGGTGCAGGTTTTCATCTGATCCACATGTGTGACGTGTAGAACACAGGGAGGTGTGGCGTCTGTGAAAGAGCTTGAGGAGGGACCTTTACATTAACAGTCTTCATGGCATCGGTCCTGTAGTCCAGTGTCCAGTCCCACAGAGAACACTGCTGTGAACTGGCAGCGAGTTAATGCTTTAACTAGGAAAGGCAAAACAATAATAAAAATAAACCAACACTTCATAGCCATCAGGATGTTCACGAGGAAGGGGACAGTGCGTCCAACAGTGCCGGAGAAGAGCGGTGAACGAGGGAAAAATCATCTTCAAAAGAAAGAGTAAAAAAGTGCTGAGGATAAAGTGATTTCAAGTAACAGGAGTTGTTTATAAAAGGGGAGGGACCAAAGGCGAGGGAAAGCGTCCTATTGGCTGACGTCTTGTTGGCTCCTCCCTTTACAGCATGTGACAGGAGCTTCGCCCAATCGGTTGAGGAATCAGTCTGACGTCACTTCATCTCGTTCACAGCCTGAGAATGAAAACATGCAGAACTGAAGCCCTACAGTCACCGTGGAAATCTGCTCATATTTCACTCCAAAATATTAAGAAAAAAAGAGAATTCGATTTTTGTTCATTAAATGAGCTTAATTTTCTTCATGCAAAAAATTATTTCTTATTCTTCCTTTTGATTTTGTGGTGAAATATGACCTGAACATGTTATCTGTGAGAATGACACAACAGACAAACAGAAAGAGCAGAACTGGGTCTCAGTGCAGTTCAAACACACACACACACACACACACACACACACACACACACACACACACACACACACACACACACACACACTTTATCCT